AGCAATAGTTAACCATAGTTTATACTCATTAGTAGTAACTTGTTTATAGAAATTAGTTTTATGATTAATTATGTTAAATTAAATATATTATTATAATTATGTAACAATTTATTGTAAGATTTACCTAGTATTAGTTAATTATAGTTAATACTCATCAGTAGTAGTGTGTTTATAAAAATAAGTTTTATGAAAATTTAAACTAAAATAAATATATTTTTAAATATATAATAAATATATATTAAATGTATATAATAAATATATAATTTATTTTTATTTTTTAATAATTAAGTGTAAAATGTATTTAATTATAGATAATTATAGTAAAAAATATTTAGCCGTAGTTAATTTTATTTTATAATAAATAATAGTTATTTAATCAAACATTATGATCAGCACAGAGGAGCATTTGTAATCTTTGTTACCTTATTTCAAGCTTAATAATTCGTAAAATTGAATTTTCAGCAGAATTATAACTTTGTTTACTAGTGGTAGTATAGGTTACCGTTAAGCTCAGAATATGAATAAGAAATAATATATAGTGCAATCAACCCGGTGAGAAAAATAGTCTGTGTTAACATTGTACTCGCAGCGAAGATGACGTCCATGCATTTATACCGTACCAGGAGAATAATATAGGCAACTTATACGGCACAAATGCATTTTTAGTAAGAGGTCATATTAATATTTGTTGTAGGAATTATTTTCATTTGGACTGTCATTTTGTAGAAAACTGCAGTTAAAACAAATTAATCTTAAAAATGCTGTACAACTTGCAGAAGATACAATACGTTTTTTAATAAATATGAGAGCAAAATCAGGAAAAGAATTTCTTATTCAGTATATATCAATGGAAGTAAAAATCTTTATGTAATTTTAAACAAAAAATGTATAACTTAAATTCATATTTATACTAGCTATGTAACTTGCTGTCGGAAAATTGTAAACGTTATTGATTTTGAAATTAAAATGAAAAAGACAACAAAAAAATTAGAAACACCGAGCAAATCATAAATTTGATGACTAAAACCAAACATTAGAAGTGTTCGCCGAAGCCGCTCCTGCGAATATGGCGGTTGGCAGCGACGACTCGTGAGGTGTTGGGATTAAGTCGGCCAGTAGTGAATGTGTAGAATAAAATATGTAAGTCTTTGTGTTATTATTAAATGACGGGTCAAATAGCACCGCCTTACTATTCAAGAACAATTTAAATAATATTAAAACAGGGACGGGCGCCCAAGGAGGGGAAAATATTAAATAATAATAACAATAACAATAATCATGGTAATACAAAATATAACTATACCAATAAAACGATGTGCCGTATTGGCAATAATACAATACCGAACAATAACCTAAAAGCGTGCGCCGGTCCTCGGTCCGCGATCACGTGATTTTCCACGACAGCGGCCTAAAACGTCCGCGCAAAAACCAACCGCGACGCCGCAACGATCGAGAAAAGACAACCGGGCTGACTTCACCAACGGCTTTTGCCTGCCGTTGCTTTAAGCCGTATGTGACAGAGGGGGGAAAGTTAAACCGGTAGACAGTGCGTCCAGTTGAGCGGGTTATTATGAGCCGTCTCGGGCGATGCCGGTGGGAACTTGATCGTGTTCGAACAAGAAGATTATTTCAGTTTCAATATTTATACTGTACATAGACTATTTTATTTCTCAGTTAGAGATTTCTGGTTCACAAAAAAAAAATTGTTTAGAGGTGAATTCTACATTTATTTTTGTATAAATTGTGAAGTAATAAATAATTATTTTTACGTGTTTTAAAAGTTTATTTTCTGTTGATTTCCTTGCGTCGAACCATTGATTATTAATAGTACTATTTATAATCAATGGTCGAACGAAGAATTAGAATCTTTCCGGAATTTATTAGTGTCTTACACGCTCTAGTAGATTCCTATAGTTTAACATCCGAATTAAATTTGTGGAATGTAAAATTAGCTAAGCTACACGTTGTTAAGAGTAAGAGTAGTCTTGAAATTCTTTCCCCGTGTAATCAATCCACGTTTTCCAATACAAATATATTAATAAAACAATTATGTACACTACCTGTCTCAAAGGTTATTTATGAGAGAATTTTTTCATCTCTTAAACGTTATTCAAGAAACACAATGGGTCAGATAAATTTTAATAAAATTTTACTTTTATCGTAATTTATAGTGATTTTATGTCTTTTGTTTAAAAAAAAATTAAATGTGCTTTCCATACTTGTCCATAAAAATATATCTACATATCCTTATAATAATAGCCTACAATATCCTTAGCCTATTATCAAGGGAATTGGACAGGGTCTTATTATTTATAAAAAATATTCTTATATTTGTAACAGTACTGAAAAATGCTCCATTAGAAAAAAGACCACAGAGACGCCCAAGATTAAGATGGGAAGACCGGGTAAAAGAAGACGTGGAAAAAGTAAAACCAGGAGATGATTGGAAGGAATTATCATTAGAAAGGGAAAGCTGGAGGCGAATTTGCTGGACGGTATGGTCCAAATGAGGCTGGTAACCAAGGAGAAGAAGAAGAATATTTGTATATAAAATAAATATATATATTATACAAGTTTATTATTATTTCTATATCCCCCTACCGTGAAAAATCCTAAATACACCACTACTGTGATCAAATAAAATATGGTTATAGGTGGTCCGTACATACTGCCGCGGTGGTGGAATTTTTTTTTTTTTTCTCTAAACCGAAACCTATATTTTGATATTTTTTAATTTTTTTTCCATAACCCGAACCGAAAATATAGCTACAGGGACAGCGCGAGGGGTGGACAATAGGGGCAGTTGCCCAGGGCCCCGCGCTTTAAATTATAATTAAGGCCCCGCGGTTCTGATTTAACTGAACTTAAAATATTTTATTAATATAAATTATAAGACTCAATATTTATTTTATCCAGAGCCTCGTAAACTCTAGCACCGTCACTAGTTATTATAATTTGTACAACTATTACCTCTATTAACTTATCACTATAATTATATGGAAAATTTAATAAAAAAAGCCCACTAGAAACAATAAAAATAAAATAAAATTAATAAATACTATATTGTATAACGCGTATCAAGTACGGCCAACGCGACGGTGGAATTGGTCTTGAAGCATTTTATCGTGGCGGTATGCGTTCGTTATAAAAAATACGTGCGTTACATTTTACCGCAGCAGTGTGTGAGATAACCTTAAATCGTAATGCCAAAAAACCGATCGTTAACAATAATCGGTTCTAAAAGTATACCATATAATAATCAATCGTGGGCCGACGAGTGAGTTTTTTCCCTCTGATCATATTTTGTTCGCTCGTAGCGATGTTGAATCAGTTTTTATAATTTCACACGTCCCCTCCGTCTCATTTACCAGTGAAGTATTTGCACGGAGAAAATAACAATCGAAATTTCGACAGAATAGTCTCAGAGCCGTCCAAAGTCTTATACTATCAATTAACTGGTAATTTATCGATTGAACACAATTATATGAGAGAATATTTGAACATTGCACTTCCACCATAATTTGCCGTACGTATAAATATAATACGATAGTAAAAACTTTTGTTTTTTTTTTTTTTTCTAACGAATCGAATTCCGAAAATCCATATGATTTATTCCGAATATAATTATCGATATGCCATAAGATAATAGTATATAAATATTGTATATTGTACACATCATAATATATTTTTGATTAAAACGTACCGACGCTTAGGTTCAAAATTTCAAATTAAATTTATAATTTATTATTATATTGTAATAAAACGACGTTTGTTATACATACATATGATGTTTTTACGATAACGGATTCACTATTAAATTATACGTAATCTATGCGAGAAGTTGGTCGGAATCGGTAGTGTAATTATTTTATTGTTGTTTTTTATTCCAAACCAATATAGTATACGACCCGCACTGTTTATTCCGTTACTCCGTCACTGTTTCTCTCTCTCTCTTACTGTCTCTCTCTTTATCTCAATTCGTCTGTCCGTCTCTCTTTATTGTTACTCCATGTTTCTCTCTCTGTATTCTTATTTGTCTGTTTATTTTAATGTCTTAACATTTGGATGTTTTCCGCAATAAAATTGAAACAAATATTTATGTACGATTCCCTCCAATTGTTTCACTTTTGATTCGTGTGTTATGCATAAAGATCTTTGAAATATTACAAACCGGTTTACTAGCGGCATGATGCCGGTCGCTAACCGACATCGATCCTTCTCACGGCTTCAGTTTGAACGGGCAGTTGGCGCGTTACGGACGTCTACGTGAACGATATACACACATGTCTGCCTAGTGGTAGCACGGTTCGCGATCGAGGTGGTGATCGCGTCATTTCGTGCCGTTATTTTTGTTTCGTTGAGATTTTCGAAGTAAGATTTTCTGCGGCGAAATGTCTTGGAAATTTCTCGTCGTGCTGGCTGCAACCGTGTCCGCAGCTTCCGCCGGACTCTCAGTTAACTCGTGTGTTCTACAAAGCGACACGGCCGTCAAGCAATTCAAGCTGTCCACTCTGAACCGTATGTTCGGCGATCTGTAAGTATAGCGGATTTCCGGCTGGTCTGGCGTTAGATTTCGCTAGGCCCTGGGTAAAGTTTTTTGAGGGTTTTTGAAAAAAAAAATATACTTGTCAAGCAAAATAATTCAATCCCTTCCTTCGTTATGTTTTGTGTAATTTTTTTTTTTTGTCTACGAATAAATAACAATTATTAAAGAACAGAGGCACCGTTTAAAAATAACTATGGTTAATATTTTCATTATAACAAATCATGCACAGTCATAGTTAACAATAAATGAATTCGTTGATCTATCGTTTCATTATTTTCCGTTTATAAATTTGAAGTAGTTAACTAGTGAGCTAACATTTATTTTATTATTTACTACAAAAAACTGTAAGGTGTAGTGTGGAATATTAACATCGATTATATGCTCTTCCACTGGAATAAACATTAAACTTAAAACTAATTTTTCGATGCTCAACAAAGCGCGAGAACCTGGACATGTACCATCATCTTGTATCGCTCCTGGGTTTTTGATAAAATCGAATCAGGACTGTGAGAACACGAAAATGAAAAACTAAAACCATATTATAATTATTATTATTTGGACAGTAGTGCTCATTATTACGTAGCATGATGTTTAGTATACAATATAATATTATCGTTATAGTTTTCAAATCGCTTTTTCGTGTTGTGTGTAACTTTTTAGGCATATTAACGTATATTACCGTATTAGAATATTGACGAACTCTCGACGAAAGAATGAAAATGCGGACTGTCCGGCATAGTAATCGCGTTTATAGGCAGTGTATAATTTATCAAAACGAGTTTGTTCGTGAACCACAGCCTACATTTTTGTTCAACTTCTGAAATAAAAAACTTGATTTAACAACCTATGGTTCTCATCGAAAAACAAAAAAAAAAAAAAAAAATCAATATAATTATCCTCTTATATCGACTTGAAAGTATTTTTGATGGTGGAGGGGGAAAATTTCTTAACATAGAAGAATAACACACATGGTCTTAAGATTAATTGTAATAAATAAATATTTCACAGAAATTAGTTAAAATGTTAAAGAAAAAATAATATGCGTGTGTTCCCGCACATATATTATTTTATTCCATACGCGTTTTTAAATATAAAGATGTTCGTATACGCATAATTTTATTTTATTTTTTTGCTTTTACTTCGTAACCGTATAAGTAGTTATGAAGTGAATTTGCTTCATACCAAGCAGACTTGAATTTGTGCCAAGAACTTTTCATGTTAATCTATTTATTATATTTCACGTTTTTAGAAGAATATTGAAATCTTAATTAAATGCACATTACATTATTATATAAGTTTCTATAGATAACAGTTTGGAATTTAGTATGGAATCGGTCCTCATAGTATGAGGTTCGTACTAATACATTTATTTATTAACATTGTTATAGTAAAGGCCACCAATATTCTTTGATTTTCTGATCTCGCAACAATCAACTATAATTGTTGTATAAAAGTCTACAACATTATATTATAAGACCAAACTGGAAATAACCGGTCGATCAAGGTTGTTGTCTCTGGTTGGTTCCTTTGCATCGCATACGATTTATTCGTTTTCTTCGAAATTCACGCGACCGTTATTTGCGAGTTTTTTTTTCCATTACCGATTTTCGGATCTAACCTACACGCGCAATCGGTCCTGTGGAGACATTCAACCAGTGCCGTCGTTAGCGTTTAACTTAAGCAATTGCTTAGAGCCTTGCACTTATAACAAATTCGGAGGTCCACGAATTGTTCAAGTTAAAATAGTTGGATATATATTGTAGGTGTAAAAAAATATTACTGCTTTTGCCTTGGCCATCGCAAAAGCTTGCGACGACACGGCATTCAACGACCAGTAATGCGATAGTCCTATTAAATTTGGACGAGAAATTTAAAAATTATACGTGTGCGTGATAGCATACGCGAAGGTTTTCAGTCGGTTGATTAATTAAAATATTATACACTTATTGAACCGTAAGACGTTTTAAATAGCTCATTTGATAAACTTCAATCTATCTAATATTTATAGACATGTCTGAAGCGAACGATAATATCAACATTATGCTAATCGACTCGAATATGAAACTTTTGGATGAATCACTAGCGTCTAGAACGATATGGATGGCTGTTTTTATTAGTATTTCGTCGGCGAGTGAAACTTTGCAATGGGTTGGATTTATTTTTACAAGTATCAACAAACTTTAGCGTCTACACGCATTAACGTATAATTATTATGCCGTCCGTTGTAAATTAAAATAAGTCACGTGATTACGATTTGCACGAAAATCTGTGTAGGTATAATATTATTATAATCATTAGTGTCTACTATTGTCTATAATCGTTTAATTAATTTTCCGGATAAAATTTAGAGTACAAATGATAAATCATGAAAATTATATGTAAATTATTGAGTTTTGTTCAGCCTTTCATTTGCCAATAAACATTTGACAATATAATTTAGGTATAATTTGTGTACTCACATTAATTTGGAAACATTACATTGTCTTTTCGTGTAATTTTAAACATTGATTTCTAAACACATTTTTATTTCTTTTTACTTAACGATTAATTACGTAATGGTAATTATAGGAAGTTTTTTATTACAAATACGAATCACGGATAAAAATCAATAATAACCCCGGAAAATCCTACAAATTATATAGCGTGTAACATTAGTAGTTAAAAGTAAATTGTTGGTGTTAACCATGCACGTTAACGCGAGATGAGACACTATACATTAATATTATGTCCTAATCAAATAATCAAACGAAATTAATGGTTATTATTTTATGGTTTTATAGAATTGATCCTTATGTTTAACGATTTTTCTATATTCTTGGTTTGGATGTCGATTAATCAAAACAATACATTTTTAACATTTTGAATTTGGTGTTCTTAAAACAAAAAGATCAATAGTAAAAATTAATAAATACAGGTTTTTTTAACACCTTTACAAAAACCTTTTAAAATCCCTTTTAATAGAGGTGTTTTTGATTTTTTCTTACTCATTTTACTCATCATATTTTTTAGCTTTATTTTATACCGGCGATGTAATTATAACTATTATTTTAAATATTAAAAACGTTTAGCATAATTTATTAATAAGTATTGTGACATTTGATAACGCTCACGTTATAAATAGCTTACATTGCATTCGATTTAAGTTGTTTGGTTAACATCTATAATTTATACATTATTAATTTATACGAAACAGTTCGATGTATCCCGTGGCCTTTTAAGATGTATCATATATAAGTAGTTTGTAAAATATATATTTTAATGTAGTATTTCAATATAATTTGCATAATACAAAAAATAATGACATCTGTACTTGGCATTCGTTCGTTCTAATATTTAATACTTAATTTTTTTTTTTGTATACGAAATACTTCCAACAGCTGTTTGTTCCCATCACGGTCACGAACCAAGTTAGAAGATATAAATTAAAATAAATTTACTTTCAATAGCTCATGATTTCTTATTTAACACATATTTATTTATCATATATTTATCATAAGAAAATATTTGAAAATATAATGGATATTAAAAATTATTAAATAGTTACTACTCGTAAATTAAAATATAAATAAACAAAAGTAAAAAAAGCAAAAGCATAGCTTAGAGTATTATTATATTTGTAAAGTACGAACGGTTTTGAATTAAAAATATGAAAAAATAAAGGAAGGAATATATTGAGAAAAAAAATAGTCGCTTTACATAGAGAAAATTTATTTTAATAGGAGATATTATTTAAAATGAGTTCTTTTAGACATAAATATTTTAAAAAATATAAGTAATTTTGGTTATTATTCTTTATTATTATCTAAAATGTATTGATATGATATTATTTTTAAAATCGTTATTTCAGAAATGTGTTTTTTATATCTTAAATGTATATTTATCTTATATAAATAAAATATATTATAATTACATTTAATTTTATGTATGCCTACATTTTTAAAAGAAGGGGGATTTTTGTTGATGTACATATCGTCTATAAGTTAAATCTCTTATGTTTGAAACCAAATTAATTGTCTCGGCCGATATATTTAACTGGATATATCTAATTTATTATTAAATTTATTTTATTTATTATTATTAGTTGATTAATTATTTTATTTATTTTTTTCGGATTTATTTAATTCTCCATATTACGCTATATGGTAGGGGCATCCTGAAAATGTAACACGTTTTGGATTTGTTATATATTGGTCCATAGGTTATGATGTTTTGAACGCTTAACTTATATATAAATTACACTGTAAATGTGTATGTACTCAGCTCTTAAGTTTACGTTATAAAAATGTGATAAATAAATTCAACAGGTCGATTGGACTCGACTATGATGTCGATGAATTCGACTATCCTGTCTACACATTTTCCCGCGCAATACCATTAAATGTATCCCTGTACAGTGCGTTCCTACACGTATTACAACTTTGCGATGAGTAACCTTACACCTAATGATGTTTGATTTTGTTAAGTTTATTGTAATTTTTTGTATACAATAATTAACATATTTCATTGTTATAATAATTCAATGCTAATATATAAGCCGTGCTATAAAAAGCTAATTGAAACGCAAACAAATTTTTTTGTAAACCTAACATAAGTTATTTTACCGAAAATTAAAAAATCAGATGATTGTAAGTTTTTAAGCTTTCAAGTTCAAAAAAATGTTATGCATACTGGCGGATATCTTGCTCAAATTTTTATTTTCATTTCCTTTCAAATCATTACATTTATTTCATTTATATGTAAATTGCCGGGCTTATCATAAAATTTAAAATCTATATTTACAAAATATAAAAAGCTTGTATATTTTTTTCGTATACCATTATGCAATACGTTTTCAAGCTTTCCGGACATCCTATATATTTTTTATATAATTAAATATCACGTTTCAAAATGATCACAAGTTACATATTGATTTCGAAATCATACGATCACCTACCATATAATATTATGTTCTACACGCCAACCCAGCTATGCATGTAGTACTTACGTATACACTCTCATGGTAAAAATAAATCCAAGACGATGCCCTTGAATTCATATTCCACGTGTTCTTGGCACTTGGTGTTATTTTCTTTGTTTTTTAAAATATACAAGTTATGTGATGTTGTATGCATATATGAGTGAATATAGAATGAATAAAAGAAATTGTTGGATACGATATAATAATAAATTTGATAAAAATCATGCCGGACTGGAATGGACATTTGGACTTAGTTTATCGCAGTAGGACGTTATAAACCGGTTATAGATGCAAAGAATGGCTTGTGAATTAAAAAAAATCAAACTAGGTAAATCTATGAATTTATTAAATTATGCACAGGTAAATAAATAACTGTGTTTAGTTTTAGGTATGTGAAATGTGTTTTCTTAATTTTATTGTATATATTAAAAACTATGAAATAGGTCATATCTTTAAATTAAGGTAATAACAATAAGAAAAAAATTATCTTTACAACATATTTAAAAAATAAGTTGGATGATAATTTATTTATTATGTAAAGCATTTAATTACCAATGTACTTAGCAGTCTTCTTTTTTTAACGAAACTATCAAGTTTTAAAATATATATAATAAAACCATTTATAACTTAATATAATACCTTCATATAGTAAATTAATCTCTGTCGATAACTGTGATATATCTAGGAAAATAAATCATATAAATTATTTTTTAATAGTTGATTTTGATTAAAATAAGCATATATAGTTATTATTGTATAAAAATTGATGAAAGCCATTTAAAAAGTATTTTGAACATCTTGTTATTCACAATAATATAGAAAATAACTTCATAAATATAGCTATTACTTACATAATTATGATAATTATTAATAAACTAACACGAATTAGTTAAACTAATATAAATATATAACTGTACACTTATGAACTTTAAAAATATATGTAAGTATGACATTTTTTAAAGATTTTCTTTAAAATATTAGAATTTTAATCAAATCATAATTGTAATTGTTTCAATATTATAATTGTATTTTTATATTAAATATTTATCTATTACAATTAAGTACAAATTATTATTTTAACCATTGTTTCGGGCAGTTTACAATTAGAAAGGCATAGCTTCTATAGCGAGTAATAACCAAAAGGAGTTGAACATTCAAAATTTGCTTATTGGGCAACGCCGAGTATAAATTAATAAACATCTATTTAAAAAAAATAATGTACATACACTCACTCATTTATCATTGCTAAATCTCAAAAATTATAAAATATATGACCTTGAGATTTGGTTTCTTCAATACACTAGACGTGTAATAAGAAGAGATTTAAAAAATTAATGACACCGGCAAAGACGGTTCCATGAAGGAAAACCTGGTAATCTAGTATACAACCAAAACTACCATACCGATTTGTTTGAAATTTCGTTTTGTTTTATAAGCAACAATTACACCAAACTAGACGTTAAATAGTGTAAGATAGTAATCCATTAAAAACTATGTCCTGGCCAAGATTGTTCCGTGCAAAGCTGGATTATTTAACTAGTATATTATGCAATTATAATATAGGTATTTCTATATTAGGTAATGTCTCTGTCTTGGAATTGTCAACGTTACTATTTTTTTGCAATGGATATTTCCAATATTATTATACACATAAAACTAGCGGTTTCAATGCACGTAATAATATATGTGAAATTCACGAAAATTGCAGACAATATTAAGTCATTATTAGCCGTTTTGAATGAATATGATTACAAGAAGTATAATCATACAAATGCTATCGCTTCAGTAAATCATACCACTGAATCGACTTCCCCGTGAAAGCATATTAAATACTTGATGAAAGGCTGACAAAGCAATATTGAATCGGTAATAAATCAATTTACTAGTGAAAAAAAATCAACCAACGTAAATTTATTGACCTTCCGTGCTCCGCAAGTTTAGCCTTAGATTCACTAATAATTGAATTTTATTTTTCTATTGATCTCAAAGAAAATAAACCCGGTATCTATGGTCATTAATTACAGTATATGCATATGAATATTTTTTTTTAAAATAGTGTTGTAAAAGTTTAGAATTTTTAAGAAGGGTAACATTTTAGTGTTATCTTCGGTTTTTGGTCCCAATGCTTTGTCCAAAATCAGGTCTATTTTGAAGTTTTGACGTTCACGTTCATATTTACGGCATTCGGTTATGATAAATAATCGAATTTTACGTATATATAAGCAAAACGATTGGATATTTTCATCAGCCGGAAAAGAGAGGATGGGGTGAAATGTATACATACACATAATCAATTCAGAAAGGTTAGTGTGCACGGGGTTTTCAATTAATTCAATAATAACGATAAGGGAGGATCCTATATACAATTATAGATATTATATTGTTACAATTTATAAGTATACAGCAGTTTCGATCCTTATGTTTAAGTATTTCGAATTTATTACTTAATTTAAATGGGCAGTGCTATGGTGGACCATAGTAGGCTGGTACTATAGAATGTATACGAATTGTACAACTTTAAGTATATTTTTGTGAGAATTAGTGTAATAGTTTGTGAAAATTGAGAGCTTCAATGATAGGATATATTTAGGAAAAAAATAGTGGTCGTAGCTATTACAGATTTTATTTTTATGCAATTCTCTTTTAAAATTAACAACGGCGACACCGTATGTATATAGCAATATAATCAGGCGATTCAAGATAAAAAAAAAAAAAAAAAAATCATAAATTTAATATAATAATAATAATAATAATAATAATAATAAGTATAATGCATACATTTTCATTACTCTTGTATTTACCTACATATAGTACGGAACACTTTTTCCGCGCATAATAAATAATAATAAGCGTATGTTTGATGTCTATAAAAGTATAAGCTATTGGACCACTGCCTATAATATTCGTATAATATTATGTACGTGTATAGTTAATATTTATTAACTATAAACGTAAATAATAGTTGTAAAATTTCTTATATTCCTCGTTTTTAAAAAAAATGGTATAATACATTTTTGGGAAACTATATTTTTAAACGATCAATATGTTAAGTATTTTTTATTATTTATTTGTTTTTTTTTTTTCATATAGGCTGACGACCGAATCGAACGGAAATATTTACATTGTATCGATCTGCCGTCCCGTGCCCCAAATTTACTTTGATGCCAAACAGTTGGCCGGATCCATAAAAATTACCACCGATGGGTACACGATCGATCTCGGACGCATCGATCAAACGAACGTCGTCGTCAACGGTTGGGATTTTATTTTTCGTCTAACGAAATTCAAATGTTTTATTTTGCTTATATGTTTTAGAAAACACTATCGTGCTCACATACGTCGGAGGCGATTCGGACAAAAATCCGAAGGACACGTGTAAAGGTCTAAAGTGGAGTACTTATCTGACGTTCATATGCGACCCGTTTTCAACGAAAGTAGGTTAATCTGAATTACGAATTTCCGAGAGGGAAATATCTTCTTTTGCCGTGTTTTTCTTTAACCTAATTATTTGAAAATTCGTTTAAAATCTTTGTACAACAATATTGTTAGCAGTGAATTGTGCAATAATGAACAATTATATATGTCTTACACATATTTTAATTAAACATCGATAAATGATCGATTAATGATAAAATATTCATTAATTTTAATAGCCCTGTTTTTGTACTGATAACTGTGGTCAATAATTTTAATTTTTATCATTTTTTTCTGTCGAAAATGAATTTGAATTTAATGTTATAATATCACTTGTTCAAATGATGTTAAAACGTTTATAATTATAACGGGGTTTTTTTTTTGCTTTATGGGTCCTTAAGGCCTTTTGCAGCTTCTACTAAACCTCTCCACTTGTCACGATCAATGGCAGTCTCGAAACTTGCTGCTTCGTCCACCATTCTTATATCTGCATTTAATCTATCCCACCAACGTTGGCGAGGTCTTCCCCTGGGACGCTTGCCAGTAAGGTTATTATTCAGTACTTTTTAAATCATGCTTCCCTCAGCTCTTATAACTGGGTTATCTAAGGTAAATCTGATGTTTATCGAAAAAAAAAAAACAGTAGAACCATTGATTATTATTTTCTAATAACTAATAATACTTATAATGAATACATTCTCGTACCTATTTATAGATATAATAACTCAATCCTATTAATTTAGTCCAACATTAATTTTGAGATTATTATTAACGTGTAGTTCACAAAAATGTTTACTCAATTATTATTGCCTATTATAATAGGCAATAAGGTCTTAAAATCTGAACGAACATTTAAGAAATTTTCGGGTTGAACCAAGTTTTTTCCTTGACCTTTTAAAAAATAAAAATTACTATAATTTTTTACGTATATTTTTTAATTAATATTTCTGTAGCTTATTGCGTTGGATATAGATTGTTATAAATTAATAATTAAATCAAATGTCTGCTTGATGTTTATCAAGTAAATATTAAAATAATAGTATATTGTATTAAAGAACATAAATGCTCGTAAAAACTGAAAAATTCCTTTTACTTACTCCGTTTACTTAAATTGAATCAAATATCAAATCTTAAAAAAATTAACTATCCATAAGATTAATTAAATTAAATCTAAGTACACGCAAAAATATACTTAAAATAAATTTAAGTATGTATCTCAATAATGATTTAGGTTATATTTTTTTATTGTAGTCTACAATGATCTCAAACTTTTTAAAATTATAATTTTCATTGAGTATTTATATTTTCTAACAATAATAAGTTATTTTTATTTATTGAGTGTCTATGTATTTATATCAAACAAATTGTTAACGAATATTTTTTCAGGATGTGTTAACATTAATTGATGAAGATCCCGATCAACCTGAAATATGTCAAATATGGTTTGAAATAAAAACATCCAAAACGTGTAATCGCCAGCCGGAAATTCCACTAGACGTTTTGGATAAATATTTAATGAATGAAACCAAACAGGTGACAATAGCAAAATAAATATAAATTATGTAAATTACCTCTCCTAAAACACAGTTTCCATATGAACATTTTGGTGCTGTGCATTTGCGATAGTAGTTATTATATTTTATGTGAAAATTATTAACAACTTAAAAAGAATTTTTTTTTGTGCTTTATCTGAGTTAAATAATCTATAATATATTACGTATAATAAGTTTGAGTGTTAACAATAACGGTTGTTGCCAGAAGGCATGTAGGAGAAGCCTACATTGAGTATCGTCAACTCCTGAGATTAAAAAGTTAAAACAAATTATAAATAATTAATTGTTTAATAATTATATTTATTAAATAATTTTTAATTCATTGACACATTCGTAAATATTAATTATTTAATCTTCAAAACTAATTTGTAATATACGTAACCTTGATTTTTGACGTAAACTCAATTTTTAAATATTTGAAATTAATACAGTTATAAATATAGGTAGTAAAAGCAATTATAATAGTTGAATGTTTAGAAAAGTTATTATAACCCATTTTAAATTCAAAATAAATAAGTATACACTATAATATAGTGTCGGCACACGGCCCGCGAGACTTTTTTTATTTGATCCGTGCTATATTTTATAATTACATCATACAATTTTAATGTTTACTGTCAATACTCTAACTTATCGATATAATAATTGTTATCTGGTATTAAACATCATTAAATGTCTAAATATCATATGTATGTTAAAGTATAGTCTTCAACCATAGCTGTACCATAATATTTAACTATATCAGTTTCTTCGTATTATTCGTATCGTGGTATCGTGTGTGTTGAATATATTATTTCCGTGTATATATACGGGTATGTGTTAATTAAAATTCTAAAATTCATATTTTGAATAACCTTTTTTTTGCTCTAGCCCGCTTAAATTTAATTTTCTAAAAATTGGTCATCTAGTAAATCTAATTTCCCATATCTGCACTATATGAATATATTCTTCTAAATAATATCCTACTTATTATTTTTTTTTTTAAAAAAAAATTAAACTTATTATTAAACTCAATGCGTATAAATTATTGTTTTATTACATTTTTTGCGTGCAGTATTTTCATGTATAATTTAAATAGTTTTAAAATTTTATTTTTCATTCTTTGTATTATATTTATTGACAAAAATACTTAGTTAATTATATAATATAATTACACAACTATCGAAGCTCGGAACGTTTGTATAGACATTTGTATATTTGTTTAGAAAGTGCAAATTGAAATTATGGTTCAATAAAAATTCGATCCATAGTATACAGAATACAAATACAAAAAATATTTTTGCATAATTTTGCATATTTCGTTATTTTTGTAGAAATTCATATATTTTAGGTTATAAGAATTTTTATATGCATATTTCATAAATAAAACGAAACAATTTTTTTTTACAAATTTATAGTTTAACAAAAAGTATTAGATGTAATATATCTAATTGTCATATTATGGCAATCGATATTCTACAATTGATATTGTTTGACAACATAAACCAATTCATCAATTACCATTTTAGTATAGCTCCCAATGCACTTAACATGATATTATTAATTCTAATGTACTGATAAACCGTAATAGTGATCGCCGACCGGGCCTGAATTTATTTTTATTTAAATTTACCAAAGCATTATTATTACACCGTAATATCAAGTGGTCGTTATCAGTTTTTATACATTTATACTGAAAAAAATTAAAGTTTGGTGAAGATAGTATAGGTAGCTTGTATAGCAGTAAGATACAACACTACACAAGTATGTAGTGTTAATTTTTTTTATTTTCTTTCAATTTATGTTCCCATAAACCAAATTTATGTAAATTGTGTTTTATTCAATTAATAGCATATTATTGCATATTTTCCAAATTTTTACTACATATTAAAACGCATATTATCAGAGCCGCATTTAAGGGGGGGGGGGCATTAGGTACAACTGCCTTGGACGCAAATTTTTTTGGGGCGCCAAAATTTTGTGGTCGTAAATTTACTCACTTGTGAATTATTGATCTTTTAAAATTATTATTTTTTTTGTTTTTCATAAGAGTATCATAAAATAATGTTAATGTATTTAATTTATTAATATATTTATAAAAGTATAGCTATCAGCGATCTAGAATATTATTAATATACCTAATATCAGTTCCCAAGTTTGTTGTGATAATGTTAATAAACATACGTTATTTATAATAATACGGCGTATTATGTTACTGCGTGCGGCGTGCAGTGGTGTGTCAACTACACAAAAATAACATTGATTTTAGAATATCTATAACGTTCAAGAGGTTCTATCACCTATATTTTCCGTGGGTAGGCCCCTTAGAGGGGCGCCAATATTTTTTTTTTGTGCCGGAGCGCAAAATTACTAAATACGACACTGCATATTATGATGTTTTTTAACGCAAATTAATTCACATATTTGAGTACATTTTAGCACATAATATAAAGTTCCGAGCCTTGATAATATTACAATAGTTATTACTGATAGTTCCCATATAACTCTAACGGAAAAATAATGAAATTAGATACCTATATAATTATTCAAAATAAGATATATATTTTTCAGAATTATGATGAAAAACATACGAATATAAGACATAACAGTTCAAGTCTACCAATTGCTATAAGTCCATATAATAATAAAAATTTTAAGCCTCAAAATAATGAAGAAAAAAAACATAGTTCAGATGTAACTGAAAGTAAAACAGATGAGAAAATACTATCAGATAATGTATACGAAGAGAAATTTAAAAATGACGATTTCGAGAGTAAATCATCCAGATATATAAAAAATATTTCTGATATAGATCATGCTCACTTTTCTGATCATAAAACAATAATTAACAAAAAATCGTCTGAAAGTGAAGATAAAAAGTTCTCTGAAAATACAAAGTCTGAATATGAAGTATCCGAAGCTAGAAACAGAATTTCTGGCCAAGAAAATGAATATCTGAATTATTACAACACAAATAGTAAAAAAATACCTATAGATAGTGAACACAAAGAAAGTTCTCAAAATATAAATTTCGAACTATCCAAAAATAAATATTTTTATAAGGACAATAAATCTTTAAATAATAATAATATAAATAGTAACAAAATATCCACAAACAGTGAACAAAAATATATTTATCACAATACCAATCAGGAGCAGATAAAATCCAAAATTGAAAATGAGAACTCTGGTAGTGAAAATAATCCTCTGAATCATATTAGTACAAAAAGTAACAAGATACCATCAGACACTGAACACATTCAGAATTCTGAAAATATTTATATTGACAAGCAATTCAGAAATGATCTTGAAAGTTCAGTCAAAAATAATCAATCTTTGAATCATGATAGCATAAATAGTAACAAAATACCCTCAAACACTGAACATATTCAGGAACCTTTAAATCACGATAGTACA